TTATGTGAAATGATGGATTATTATTTGTAGTAGTAACACATCCAGTAATACTACCAACATTACTTAAATATCACTTGCATTTTTTCTGACCTATTTTTTTTTTTAATCTCTCTACCATGAAGATCAGCAGGGAACCAGATGTTGGACAATCTATAGGGTGATTAAAAAGTAACCCTATTTTAAAATTATTTATTAACTATAATTTTTACAAGAAATGGATATGAGAGGAAAGTGTTTAGTATGAGGTTTTAGTTAAAATTTGATATAGGCACCAGATTTTGTTGTCAGCTTATTGAGCTGCACATGAATCATGTCAACTGATTTCACTAAGAACTCTTGTGGTATGGAAGACGTAACTTCTTGTATTTGCCCTTCAAGTTCTTCCAAATTTTTTGGGTGGTTGGCACTCAAAGTAGAGGGTTATGTGAAGCCATTTGTGCATATGGTAGTCGAAGATGGCAGTTAACTCTAGCCTTGAACAGGTTAAGATTGTAATGATCAGGGAACATCCTGTTGGGACTTGGTTCAACAAGGCAGTGGTTTGTGGGAAGATGATGCTCGAGTGGAACTTACTTTTCACCGATGGAAAGCAGAGGGAATCTGGGTGGTTTGTTACTATGTAAGTGGCATAGTGTGTTCTTGTCATGAAGATTTGACTTGACAGGACCAGAAAATGTAGCTTATCTGAGCACATTCCATGGAAGTAGTGGTAGAGCAGCAAGAGGCTTGCCATATCCCGCCTGTGGGGGAGAGGTTGAAGGGTGGAGAATAATTCATCACCCACAAGGGCTTGGAGATGCTTTTGCACTTTATCAATACTTGGAGAATGAAGTCTGGCCAGCTCCCACCCAAATATGACAACAGTACTCCATTTTTCGCCTAATCTGGCTCTTGTAAAAGTAGAGGATACCAGACTTAGTTTGGTATAGTAGACATGCTCCTTTAACCAACTCCAAAGAAAAAAGTCAGAAGTGGTTAAGTCCCGGCTGACCACTCATACATAAAATAGGGAGTTACTTTTCAATCACCCTGTAGTTAGCTCAACTTTACCAAGAAAACTTAGAGCATTTATAATTCATAAACTTAGGCCAAGTTATTGGATATGCTTTATCATCTAATGATTTTAAAATTAGAAACTATTTATGTCAAGTGATATAATTGGTATATTACAATTCTAATCTCTGACCATACTTGTAAAAAGTAATCCTATTTTTAACTTATTTCTTTATAAGTTCTTAAAATTTCAAATACTTCTCTAATTGCCTGTAACATTATTATTTATAACAAATACTAATCTTTCTTATGAGATATCAACCAGCAATAATATATTAAATATCTTATAAAGATCTGTAATGTAATCTATCCTGACTTGGCATTTCAACTTCAGTCACTTTCTCACCAATATTATGTGGCTTCTCTCTGTCTTTTTTACAAATATTTTCATGGTAGCTGCACTGATGAAGTTTTTTTCCCTGGTGCCCTGACTACATGAATTTAAGCAGGTTACTAGATTGATATCTAGATCCCACCTGTTTACTGTTGAAATAGCTAAATGTAACTGCTACTTCTACTTCAAGAGTTTTTTTTCTTACACTTCCTGCCTGTGGAACTCCCTTCTGTTTACTTGATTCCTTGATAACTACAATCTTCAAAAATTTAAATGCAACGTCAATCGCCATCTTCTATCTTCTTGAATCCTGTTCATCTTTTGTCCTTTCCTCAATCCTCGCTATTAGCAGTCTTGTCATTCTTTCACTTTCACTCCCTGTAACCCCCTGCGTACTAGTGGCATTACTGTCTTGCTTGGGGTGAAATGATTGAAAAAAATAAACAAACTTCTGTCTAATAAAGATTAGCATGATAACTCTCAAAACCATGTCACATTAGATTTAAAAACTCTCAAAACACACCACTGATGTCCTTCAGGATGGTGGCATAGTGGATATAGGCATTGTTTATTGGTTGTGGTTTCAAACCTTGGATCAGGTAGTGAAACAATATATATTGATTCAGCAAGAACAAACGAGAATTGGCATTGCATAACCTAATAATCAACAGATATCCACCAACCAATGGACACCTGAAGATAGCCAGAGGATACTTTGCTGAAAGGTTTTGTCTATAATGATAATATTAACCATTTCCCTACTTGGAAACATTTGGTATTCATTGACTGAGCAGCCAGTACTGTTTTCAGTTGAAATTTATAAAATCTTTCTCTTAAAGCAATTTTTCAAGAAAATAGGTTTATCATGTCCAGTAGCTGTTATTGCTCTTTCCAGTATTGATGGAGGTGTGTGTGGTCCTTCCTAACCTTTTAATTGAAGTAATGTGGAATGTCAACATCTTGATTATTTTCTCTTTGAGTAACATGTGCTAGCCATTTTAGTTGTTGTAATAACATCTATAATAATGAAGCTGAGAACAATGATTTGAATAAATTAAAGAATATTGAGAATTATTGCTATATATAATATTTTTAAAGAAAAACAGTGTACAAAAATGTAGTAGACACAGCTTGTTCTCCTGGTATAAGTGACATAAGATTGCTTGTGCTATGCACAAGAGAATCAATTTGTGATGGGTGATGTTTTACTTGACTGAAAATCTGTATAGTGACTTTGATAGATGCCATAAAAGCCAGCATTTGTTAACGCCAGGCAGTTGTTTGAAGGGACACCACCAGTGTGACAGGAGTGAAGGGAATGAATTTTGATAATTCAGCTACAAAAAAGAAATGTTAAAAACTAGAAAATAAGTTTTAAATTGATCATCAAAATATTAAAATAATCATATTTCTTTGAGAAATATTTTAAATGCTAAAATACTGTAGTATATTGTCTGTTTCACTCATAATCTTTCTTGATGGATGACTACTTGGAAATACCAGGTGCTATAAGCTTCGATGTACAGGTGTTGTAATGGATAACAGCTTGGAATTGTTAATCAGGGAGCCAGGTGCCAATTCTTATTCAGTTTGTTATGTTCACTTATGCACAAATACCCTTGGGAAAGGTATGAATCCACCTCCAATCTCTCTCCAGCTATGGGTTAATCAGTAAGATTTGTATCACTAAACCATTATTATCTCCAAAAAACATTTTATAACCTAAAAGTATTTTCTGGCTTTAAATAACCTGAAAAAGGTTAATAAGCTGTAAAAAATGAATCAATCAAAAAATAAAATTTATTGTGTCTTAATATTGTGATAAGCTTAGTAAATATCTACAGTTGATATTAAGTCATACCTGATAAATGCTTGAAACTGCTGATCTAATTAACTGATTCCCTCCAAGCAAGCTGCCAGTTGTTTTGCAGTCATGCTTAAAAATTGTTTTCTTCTTTGACCTTTAAAATATCTGTCTACATCTCTAATTCGTACTAATCTAAATGGATATTTACTAAGCTTAGCTGGTAACGTTGTACAATAGGTACTGTGACCAGATATAGTAACATTTTTTCAAAAATATTTTGTCAGTAAAAAAAAAGAGCCAAACATGCAAATTACAAAACTGAAAGAGGTGTGAGACAACGATGTGTCTTCTCACCAGACTTATTCAACCATTATAGTGAAACAATCCTGAAAGAATTAGAATTCCTATCTGGATTCATTATTGGAAGTCACAGTGTTAAAAACATTAGATATGCACATGACAGAGTATTGATAGTATACGTAAAAAGGAAACTACAGGAACTCCTACAGAAGGTAGTAAAGGAAAGAAAGAAGAAAAGACTAAACATCAATTGTAAAAAGACAAAATGTATTGTTGTCCGCAAAAGAAACAATCCAACTTACGAATTACAAATTGGGGATGCCACATTGAAGCAGTTGTCAGAGAATTAGAAGTGTTGCTAGAATTCATTATTGGCAGTCATAGTCTTAAAACCATTAGATATGCAGATGACATAGTATTGATAGTATACGTAATAAAAAGGAAACTACATAAACTCCTAGAGAAGGTAGTAAAGGAAAGCAAGAAGAAAAGACTAAGCATCAATTTTAAGAAGATAGAACAGAATAGTACATGTAATGTCAAAATCCAAAGGAACATTGGGATAGTGAAAGATGCTTTTCAAAATCTAAGAAAAGTATTAACAAACATCTCATTAGAAATAATGAAAAGAGTATTTAACTGTTATATGATATCAGTCCTCATATAGGGTAGTGAATGCTGGACAATCTCATCACAGATGAAGAAGAGATTTGAAGCAACAAATGTTCTACAGAAGGATGCTGAGAATACCATGGACTGACTATGTGAGCAATGGTAAAGTTTTAGAGAAAATGGAAACAAAAAAGAGTGCTTAACATCAGAAAGAGAGAACTGAAATTTCTAGAGCACATAATGGGGAAAGAGGGTTTGGAAAATTTGATACTCACAGGATATTTTAAAGGCAAGATAGGTAGATTATGTACATCTTTCCTCTATCTAATGACCTTAGGTAAATTGTTGGTAGAACAGGTGTTAGGAGAGATCATAAAAAGGCAATATTTACTATGAGCTATGAAGGACAAGAAATTGTGGAGAGCCATGATTTTCAACATCCTGAAGGGAGATGGCACAGAGAAGATTAATCAAGCACTCCAGATCATAAATATTAAATTTTCTGTTTCTTATTAAATTTTATAAAAGTTAATGGGGGTCCAATTTGCTATATAGGTTTATGCCCTTATGAGAGCCAAAACAAAATATGCTCATACCACATGATTTGATTGATTCATTTTTTATGGCTTATCAACCCTTTGCAGATCTTTGTGATATGAGCATATTTTGTTTAAAGCCGTAAAATATTTTTAGATTGTAAGAATTTTTTTTATTGAAATAATGATTCTGTGATATGAGTCTTACTAATTAATCCATAGTGGGGGGTGAGAAGAAGCGGATTAATACCTTTGTCAAGTGTAAGAGAATATAATGAAGCCAACGGAAATTGGAACTTGGCTCTCCAATTAACAAGTCTGAGCCATGGATAACCATTACTCCACCAGCACATCCAAG